CACGCGCACACACAACCACCATGCACCGCCGCACGCACGCACGCCACATACTCGCGCGCGCGTACACACGTCCTTCCGAAGAGCAACGGCCAGCACGAGCGACCATGCGCCAAGCCCTAACTTCTTAATCGGCATGAAAATGCACGAGAAATGCAAACTAAACGATTGTCTGTGTTATGGTGGCCTGTATGTGTCTTGTAGAATTGTGTCAACTGACAACCTTTATGGGAAAATCAGCCTGGCCACAGACCGGCGCAGCAAACGTTAGAGTGAACAATAACGCAACCACAAGCACGATACACAGCACGCACGCCCACAGCATACCACATATCCACACACGCGCACACCACATACCGCTTTCGATTAAGTTCGGAGACACAACGCAAACACACGAAGCGCGCCTTCGAGGACACATGACACACACACGATGCGCGCGCACCCACACAGCGCGCGCGCTCACGCACACTCGGCCGCACATCGCCACATCACACACACCACGCACACCACGCCACGCACACGTCACACACCACACACACGCGCGGCGCGGCCGTAGAAACACAGCCTTCGACAGTCACACCGCAAAGACGAACGCGCACGCACGAGCACGCATAGCGCAAAAGCACTAAATTCTTTATCGATATGAGAACAGAAGAGAGAACTAAATAACATATTTAGCTATCATACCCAACTTTTCTCTCTGGCCTCTCTATTCTCTCTCTTCTTTCTCCTGTCGCTACTCTTATCTTCTGCCTCTATTCTCCTGTCCTATCTTTTCTTCCTGGCTTTTGGTTTTCTGGTTTTAACTCCGTATGAGTACAAGTTGGTAACGATGTGACGTGCAGCTTCTACTGAGAAATTATCGAAAGTGGCCTGTACGCAGCACAATACCACAAAATGGGCGTGATTGTACACATACGAGTCGCATGGTGTGATAACGGTCAAATCAAACGACGGTGTGTTTCAAAGGCTGCTTCTGCTTTTCCATTTTTTTCAAGGGCGAGACGAAAAGAATGAATTATATTTAACGTGCCACGCTGCGGAAATACAGGCGTATACGTAGTCCGAATCAACACGCACCACGGACGCACGCACGGGTAGTGGCACTTGCACTCCGGCGCACGCAGGCACCATTCACGCATGCCCGACGCGCATGTCGGCGCACGCTTGCAGGCACGCACGCACGTACGCAGCAGCCGCACGCATTCACTGGCACGCACGCACAGTTGCACCTCCCGCGCACAGCTGGCAATTCAGCATGCCCGAACGCATTAGGCACGCAACGCACGCACGCACGCACGCACGCCACGCACGCAACGCGCACGCACGCGCGCACATAGCAAACTCAAAAAGCCCGCCACGGGTACAGAGCACCGCGCACAATGCGCGTTTGAAACAAAGCATAGGGGACGCCGCATATACGCACACTCTGATAGAGCAGATCATTGCAGCTGAATTTTTTTAAGTCGTAACCGCACCCGAAGATATTAATGATAAGATAGTCAGGCAGTTGCGGCTACGTGCCGAGCCGGGGTCGCGGGATCGCAGGTAGACATGAGTCATCGGGTGAGTCAACGTGATAATGAACGGTGCGATAATGCTATCAATGAGCGATGGGCTGGACGTGATGCGGCCATGATGCGCAGGCTCGCGAGGATTGACACTTTGTGTCTTCCATTAAGCAGGCCTACCCCGCACCTCCCTATATATAATATAAGGTGGGATTCCGTCACAGTACCAAATCGCCGATCTCAGGAACTAAGGCATTCTGCTAGGGCGGAACGGTTTTCCTAACATAGAGTTTTGTGGCAGCAATAAAGGGGAAGGGCGAAAACGGGGGGGGGGGGGGAGCGAAAATAGCTACGCCGCTCTAGCGCACGCGCTGACCGTCCTTGTGTTGGCAATTTTCGCAATCTCCGAATCGAAATAAGCTCCGGGCCTTTGGCTCTCTCTCTCTCTCTCTCTCTCTCTCTCTCTCTCTCTCTCTCTCTCTCTCTCTCTCGTTCTCTCCCTATCCCTCTCACTCCCCCCCTTTCTCTCTCTTTTTCTCTAGTTCTCTCCAGCTCTCTCCCCTCTCTCTCTCTCCCTCTCCATCTCCATCTCCGTTTACACTCGCGTGCATGTGTGAGTGCATAGTGCCTGCTATTGCCTTGAGCACCACCATTGCAGATAGATACGTCAAGAAAACATAAGAAGACATTAAGAAAACATCAAACAGATTTAGTATCATTTCTACAAAGGAAATTCATTGACTCAAATAGCATGATGTACGAGATTGACTTGAAAATGTCTGTTGCTACCATAATTTCATTACCGTTGGGTTATGATTAGGGGCGTTATTTTTTTTAAACCCAGATAGCACACAACCGTTGTGCCAACGTTTTGCCAAAGGCTCACTTGAAGACAATGCAACGTTGCTTGCCAACGTTAGCTTATATTAAGATTATTTTATTTATATTAGATTATATTAAGGGATATTTGCTCAGCTTGTCAACATAGGCTCAGTGTGAATTTGTCAACTATGACCGTGCCAACCAAATGATGTGGGTTTGTTCACAATTAGATTTTAACAAGGACATGAATCTAGGCTATGTTCTAGAAATCTAGGGAGATATAATTTACGGGGTGCAGACCGTGAGGAAATCCAAAATAATAATAAGGGTTTGAAGGTGAACGGAATAATCTTTGTACGGAAGGTTGATAGAGACGGTTGTGTAGATTTGTATGGAAGGTTTTCAGATATAGTTGTGTATATTTGTATGGAAGGGTGAGAGAGGTGCATAGTTGTGTAAATAAAATGAGGGATATATATATATAATTATTTAAATGTATAATAATTTTTTATAGTCAAAACAATACTAATATTTACGGGGTGCGGACCGTGAGGAAATCCAAAATAATATTAAGGGTTGGGGGGATCAATGTGGGAACAATGTTATTTTGCTAATCTTGAACATGCTAATTAAATACAAACGTTGGCCCCAAGATTACATGCTATCTGAGAAGCATAACAGGAGAACATGTATGGTTTTGTTCACAATTAGATTTCAACAAGGACACGAGTAGACTATGTTCGAGGAATCTAGGGCGATTAACACAGGGTGCGGACCGTGAGGAAATCCAAAATAATATCGAGTTTGAATCTGGGTACGATAGTCAGATAGGTCACGAGAAGGTGAAGGGAGAAGAAATAATCTTTTGCTAGAGGGAATAATATTATAAATTATTTTGAAACCTCGTTAAGCTTTATAATAAAAGCCCCATTCTACTTCTAGCTGTCAAGATGCTGTACTGTACTTAATTACCTACTCTACTTAGTAACTTACGATCAGTATCACAAACATGCATAAATTCGTACCAGCTGCGTTTGCTAAGTGGTGAGCATGAAGTAGGGATGGGCACACGTCGCAGAGAAAGAGGGAGAATTAGCCATGAGGAACACGGAGAACAGATGATACGGAGGGAGAAATGGAGGAGGACGGGGAGAATAGATGATACGAGGGGAGAAGGGGACGAGGAAGGGAGAGAAGGGGAGGAGGACAGGGATAATTAATAGAAGAGACAGAGGTAGAAGAGGAGGATCTATAATGACAAGCACGGTGCTACCACCGTGCTTGTCAATAATAAATATAGCTAACACGATTCTGCATAGTTGGTCAGCTATTCGCATGGATATAATTAAAAATGGGATGCCGATTCAGGTCAAGGATCAAAACAAAAAATTGAAAGGGGGAAGGAAGAAGGAATAGAACCAAGAAGAAATACGATATTACGATATACGCTATAGGTACGAGGAGTACATGTGCAGTAACCTCAGTAAAAGAGGTGAATACAGATTTGTTTACTGTTAAGTTGTTAACAAAAGAATGAAATGGTAATGAAATGGAAAAGCTACGATTCCATGGACGTCAGATCTCGTAGTGGAAGGTTTAAGATAAGATTTACCGAGGTTTAATTACTTATATAAGATGAATTTCATGCCCCAGATGCTGTACTGTACTTACTATCATAAACGAACATAAATTTGTACAAATTGCGTTTGCATAGCGGTTGATATTTAGAACAATTATACTCACAGTAAAAACTACTTGCTACATCAACCCACAGAAAACACTTTCCCCCGGGCGTAGATGGACGGTAACGTAATGTGGCTGCACTTGTGTTAGGATTAGCGTTAGGGTCAGGGTTAGGGTTAGGGTTAGGGTTAGGATTAGGGTTAGGGTTAGGGTTAGGATTAAGGTTAGGGTTGAGAGCAGATGATATTTCTGCTAAAAACTTTCGCTGCATATCATGCTAAACCTACAACACTATTGTGAGGTCCCAGTAA